TAATAATCTATGTAGACTCTTCCGATGTTTTTAGCAGCAAATCAATCTCTTTAATTCTTTCTATTGTCGTAAGCGGTAAAAACGGAGCAATGGTGTTATGATCGTCTTCCAGAATTTTGTACGTGATTTTTGAGAGCATGTTTTAACTTTTGCAATCGTTGGCTCATGCGTTGCAATGTAATATTACATGCAGCTTGCAACATTTGTTTCATGCCAACTATAACATAATCAAGTATGTTATGTATTTAAAAAATGATAATTTTTCTTTATAATGTTTTAGATAAATTTGAGTATTAGTTGCAGTATTCTCGTATTGAAATATTGAAACAAAATGATAATTATAAATTTATTTATTACAAGAAATATATTATTATTAAAAATTTATAAAATAAAGTTACAATTGGTAAAATAAAATACTAAGAAATAGTTCAGACTATAAATTGGCAAACTCAATAAAAAGTGGTAAGTGATTTTTGCAAAAGAGAAATTTATCTTTAAATCTGATAAAAACATCCCTTACACTTTTTTATTAAGCGATTTAATATTGATAAGATTTTCAAAACAGTTTCTGAGAACATCATAAAGATAGATATATTAATAACATTAACATAAACTCAGACGACTTTAGTTATGTACACTACAATTGAATTAATTATCGAGTTTATTACTTAAAACAGAAACACTCATAAATGTATTTATTTTTAAATCAATATGATCATCCTTACTAATTTCTATGATAAACTTCAAGCGATCAATTAGTAAGGATGACGTATTGATTTCTTTGATGTAACTATAATAGCTGACAGCCAAGGAATAATTTTTAACAGATATAACAAACTTACTTTCTCGGGCAGATTTTTAAACTTCCATTCACAACACCCTATCTGCCATAAGAGAGGAATTTTATTTAGTTTGGCGAATAGAGTGTTACAGTTTCCCATCTTCAATTCCATTAAAAAAAAATCTTGAGGACTTGATTCACATATTTCTTAAGAACGGATATCCATTATCTTTCATTTTTTCTTCCATTAATACAAGGCTAAAATTTCACTGTTTAAAAACTAAAGATTACACTTTCTGGAAAAAAATTAATAAGTCTAATAATCGTTTTTTCACAGTCCCATGTGTAAAAACTATTTCTAAATGCTTCATACCAATGTCTACAAGATTAAATCTCATAACAGCCTTTCCTATTCCTAACAATTTAAATAGATTCTTAAAATGTGGAAAAGATGTGCTAGGTCGTATGGCACATTAAGACGTGGTGTACCAAATTGCATGTCAGGATTGCGATGCTACGTATATAGGTCAAACAAAACGATAACTTGGTACTAGAATTAAAGAGCATCGCCAAGATATTGATAGTTTATATAAACATGATAGGGATTCCTCAAGGTATTTAATTTTAATTTAATTTATGTAATTCTATTTTGATTTATGATATGGATATGGTTTTTTAAGATATGGATCAGCATTGACTTTGTATTGTATAGTTTATTCTAGAATATCCATATAATGTATTTAAATCGACTGAGTGGTAGATAAACTACCATAAAACCTTAAAGATTGAAATTATATACTCTCTTTGTAATATGCTGACTTGATGACCGACACGCACCTGAAGACTTGCGCCTTATTCTAGTTTATTTAATGCGATAAGTAATTCTCACATTTTTATATTACCTGACCGTTTTAGACGACCGTATGTGTTTGTATTTAATATTTTATATGATTAGGCCGTTGGGATGACCGAATATTGTTTTTAAACTATGTATTATTAATTTGCGTTTTAACATTGAAAATGATCTTATTTGGATCGAAACGTCTGTTTACTATATTTTAATTAAAGATTTACTTTTAATTGGAGCATATAACACCTGGCACATAGCTCTTTATTTCTGATTGATTTAAAATATTTGGAAAAACATTTCAATATCCCAAAAGAAGAAGAAAAGAAAGCAGTAAATAATAGTATTAATATTTCTAATGAATGTTGTACCTCTCAGTGCAACAAATGAATTTTTCGGGATCTGCTCGCATAAAGGGTTGGGACCCACGAGGATACTGCGGGGTAGGAGTCGAGACACAGTCACTTAACACTGTTTTACAGTTAATTAATACTTTATTTCCCTGTTTGATACAAATGATTCCCGTATAATGCGATAATTCTATGTTCCCATTACTATATTATGATCATGGCTATGTATATGTTTCACGTTTGCGTTCGCGGCGGCTGTATCGCCGGCACTCGGTGCGCAACTTGATATACTTGTTATCGCGACACGTAACGTGTAGTAGGTTTGACTCTCTTAATCGAACTCTTCGCGGCGCAGGTTTAGGCGGCCGCTTTTATAGGATTGTTGGTGTCCTACTGCAATTCGCGATGATCCGCGATCGGACCATATTTGGGCATGGGAAGTCAGGTGTCGTCTTTCCATGCGACCTTCGTTTGCGCTCACTCGCGAGGAATTCGCAAGTTTGCAGTCTTGCATTTCCGCTTGCTCGCTGCCATGCATGCGTTGCTATACCGAAATGCAAGGCTTATAGCGTGATAGCATTCGGGCTATAACATGAAACTAATAGTAGTCTGGAATATGAACCATACAATTTTCCAGAAGATGTTAATGTTATGTCTAGCGCCTCACGGATTTTGTTTATCTTTTTTCTTTTTCCTTCTTTCTTTCTTCCTTTTCCTTTTTTTAAGAATTTAATTTTTAATAATTAATTAATTACAATAAAATCGACTGTGTCTATATGTGCATATGTATCCATTGATATGTGAATCTACACACGTATAGATATATCAATATACATATTAATATAATAATTTAAATCCTCATTTAAATCTCGAAGCAAAGAATTGCGAAAGGCGAGACGAAACGATCGAGGGAAAGCGAGCCTCACGTGTACACCGCCCTCACGCCCGATACGCGTGCACGGAACAATGAAATTCTCGGAAGGCGCGAATAAGTAAATCGCCTAACCGCTAATTCAGGAATTAAACTACAGTTCAAAGGGCGACTTATTACTTTCAAATTTTCCGAGAATTTTGATTTCCCCTCGCTCCTCTATCACCAACCAAGTAGTATATAAGCCGATTTCAGCGATGATCGCTCATTATTATCGCGCCGTCCTCGGCGTTCGATATACTCGGCTAGAGCAAGCATCCAGCAAGACATCCATTGTAAGCTCCTTTTTTTTGACTACTGCATTAAAGTTCATATTTAGTACAGTAATCCCAGCATTTTTTCTCTCGCGCCGCCGTCGGCGTAGTCTCACCTTCTATCTTTCGTTTTCGATCAGGGTATACTCCAACCTTCCACTTTTCCTTAAATCTCGCCTTGGCGTATGCCCCTTCTCTATCTCGCGCACTCGATTTTCAAACTTAGGTTGAAATTATGTTCCTCTTTTCTTTTAAACATTTAACCTAACAATTGAACACTTAGTTTGATAACCAAATTCATTTAATATTAAAATCGCACTGGCAGTCAAAGAGGTTCCCGCTCGGCCCGCCTTAAAGATTAGCCATTTCTGATTGTGTCTCTCCTATCTCAACATTTCCTTTTCCCTCAATAAATTTTCAAGATTGATCCCACTTCCCGCGTCCTTCATACCCCAGGACGTAACAGTTAATATAAAATTACCAAAATTTTGGTTTAATTTAGAGTTACATATTGAGCAATGGAAATCTATATATCCTGTATCAAAAGTGTACAAAGAAACAGGAACTTATGGTAAAATATGTAAAGTGCTTAAAACCGGTTGGACGGATATCATTTCTAAAGCTTATTTTTTGAAATATAAACTACCATGTGTTTATGTATTTAAATATGGCAAAATTTTTTAATCTACAGAAGCAAAAACATATTTAAAAATATATGGTTTCTATAAGAAATGCAGTGCCAAATTTAAAGCTCATACTGTATTTGAACCAGCTCCTAACACTGGTATTATTTTAAGAGTTCATACTGTGGACTCTTCTGAAATATCGCATGAGGAAAAATGAGCAAAAAAGGTGACACTCAAATAGCAATTGGAGAGGAACTTTTATATAAACAATCGAGACAATGGCGTAACGATGCTATAAAAGATTTATCGTACGAACATCCTGAATCGCTATATCTTCCCAAACAGTGTACTCTAAGCGCCTTAAAGAAGAAGCTATCATTCGCGAATTAGGCATTAATAAATGCCTTGATCCTATCTGTTCGGTATTTGTGCGAGACCATTTCGGACGCCGATTTGGCGCCGCCGCGCCGGAACACCGATCGCGGCGATTCCGAGAAACCCGTCGGGTCGTTTCGCCGAACCTCGCAATTTTTCGGGGAATCGGGGATTCCCGCGGGTAGACGTTGGACGAGAATTTTCGGAGGAACACTTCTGCTCCAATTTTCAAACCATTCGGTCGCCTTTTAACTTATATTGACGAAATTTTGACGAGGGATTCTGACGACGTTGTAAGGGACACGGTTCGACTCCGAACAAAGCCGCTACAGTTAATATACAATAAATTCCGATTTTTACGGAACCGAGAGTTTTTCTTATTGTCGTGTGGATTGCCCATGCGACAAGCACAGCATCGCCGAGTCAGTGGCGTATGCAGGAAGGTAGTTGAACACTGCTTCGACAGTCCTGTCGTCACCTTCCACGTCCTACATCATACATTTTTTGGTCCTTCGAGCCGGATCACCGGAGAAAAGCAGCAATTAAACTTGGCGGAATGAGAACTGCTTAGAGGGTCCGTGCATACATTCGTCAGGAGGACATCTCTCGCAAGCAGAAGGACAGATTCAAACTCGTAACCGCGGGAACGCGCGGCATCGACTACCGGGTGGCGATCACGGGGCACCTTCATCGTGGGGGACCGGTCATCCGACGTCGCATCCGAGACACAGCGTGAGAGCGAGTAAGATCAAGGACGAAACTGGTGAGCTGATATATTTTCAATCTGCACCAATCAATCAATTTTACTGTTCGAACCCGACGCGCATAATTTAAGTATGTCTGTCGAACGCAGTCCTGCCGCGGGCACATCTCGCGCGGTTATACCTCCGCCCGCGCAAGCAACGCAGGATTTAGTTTTATTAAAAAGACTCCGCGGAATTATAAAGGCGTCATGCACGCGCACGGAGACGTTTATAAATAGCGTACGCGAATTAACTGCTGAAGCGCGAGCGCAATTAGAGGAGAGACGCGTGCGGCTGGACACGTACTGGAACGATTATTGCGATGTCCAGACACAAGTCGAGATGATCGACGAGGAAGAGGTTAGAGATCGGATAGCGTTCGAGGATGCGTTTTATGCATTGTGCGCGAAATTTCGGCAGCTATTACAGCCGGTTAATTCTTACGCGAGCGCGCAAACATCATCGTCCACGCAAGGGACTAATACCGATACGGGGTCGACTTCGCATGTACGTTTGCCTAAATTAAATTTGCCGACTTTTTCGGGAAAATATGACGAGTGGCTTTCGTTCCACGATACATTTATGACCGTTATTCACAGTAATAAGTCGTTGGGCAACGTACAGAAATTTCAATATTTGCGGGCGTCCTTGACCGACAAGGCAGCAGATATTATTAAATCTTTGGAAATATCGGACAACAATTACGACCTTGCGTGGAACTTGTTAAAAGAGCGCTACGACAATAAGCAGGTTATTGTCCAAACACATGTTAAGGCGATATTAGATCTTCCTGCGATGACTAAGGAAAATGCGAACGACCTTCGGCAAATAGCAGACGGTGTCTCAATACATATTCGCGCGCTAACGACATTAGAGTGTCATGCCGACAAGTGGGATGCGCTACTAATTTATATATTAAACTCGAAATTAGATTCAATTACATCGCGCGAATGGCATACATCGTTAAAGGGCACCAAGTTGCCCACATTAAAAGAATTTATTGAATTCCTCACGCACCGCAGTCAAGTTTTAGAGGAATCGGTAAAAAGGAATTCGATGTTGTCCGGTCGCCCCGACTCTCGTGCGCAGGCGCAGCTTGGCACTCGGCGCCAGGCATTACATGCGACCGCCGAGAGAGGCAAATGTAATTATTGCGGCGGCAGTCATTTAATATATTTCTGTAAGAATTTCTTAGCGTTATCGATTGAACAACGTATCGCGGAAATGCGGGGAAGGAAAATTTGTCTAAACTGCTTGCGCGCTTCAAATCATACAGCCGCCAAGTGTTCTTCTGATGGTTGTAGAACATGCAATTCGAAACACAATACGCTCCTACATATTCCGAGGGATAGGGGGGAGGCTGGCGGCGCAGATGACAGTCTTCCTGCGTCAACTGGTTCGTCCGCGACCTCAGGTGGTCAGGTAGCAATAGTTACGCATAGCGCAATAAGGCATAAGGACGCAGATATTTTGTTGTCGACAGCACTTATCTATGTGCTCGACATTGACGGTTCTCGTAGGACATGCCGTGTCTTGCTTGATTCCGGATCACAGGCAAACTTTATTTCGAGCAAGTGTCTGAGGTCATTGCGACTGAAGACCCGTTCAACAAACATATCGATATCGGGGATCGGTAAGGCCGCATCAATTTCAAATCGAATCGTGCGGGTCAGTATACGTTCACGGTTGAATTCATTCGTGTCGGAAATCGATTGCATTGTGACCGATCAAATCACGGGCAAGATTCCGGCAAAAAACGTGAACTGTTCAGGCTGCCTTCCGGTATTGAGTTGGCGGATCCTGGCTTTAACATAGCGTCTGATATCGATATGTTGATCGGTGCCGAATTATTTTGG